CCTGTCCGCTGCAGCTCCTGACAGCAATGTCCTGACAGCAATGTCCTGACAGCAATGTCCTGACAGCAATGTCCTATTGTTATTATTATAGAAACTGGAAAAGACATCAAACACTTTCTGCTTAAAACCACAGAGAAGGTTCCATAGCGCGATCCATCTCTCCTTTTATTCAGGAGATGCACCACAGGGGGGGGGGGCAGGCCACGGCTAGCCCGCTTAAATATTAATTATTATTAGGATAACATTTTACATTTTCAATATTCTGGATTCAGAAACGGTAGGCTAATATTTTTTCCAGTTTTACTTGCATTTAAATCAATTGTAAGCTGAACTGTAGACGGCTATTATGCTCAAATGCACCCGGGAGGGGGGGCATCCTATGGTGTTTAAAATGATTGATTATAACTTATTATATTTCTATTTCATACATGAACGTGACGATGAGCGGCATATGGTGAAGAATCGGCCGGTAATGAGCTCAGCTGAGCTCAGCGTGTTTAATTCCTCAAACTAGTGACAGGAAATGCCCTGAGCAGTAGGCGAACGTCGGAATCATGCAGGAATTGCGGGCGGGAGCGAACAAACTGTTACAGGTGCGGGCGGGAGTGGAACGGAAAATGTGTCAGCGCAGACCTCTATCCGGTTCTGTGGGGCTCTGAGCGATTCGACTGTGAAATTATATTTTAAGGTGGATCATAATCTGGATGAACTGAATAAACAGATGAAGCTTTCAGGAGGAATTTCTCCCTTAAAAACAGATTCTAACCATTTTTTAGCCGCTGATCACAGCAGATACAGCAGAGCTGCTCTTTGCCACTGAACACGGAGCAGCAGAAGCGTCTCTGCAAACTTTCCTGGCTGCGCTTCAGGAGCGTCGGACCTTAACGTGGAAAAGCATCAGAAATGAAGCAGCAGACGGCGTTTTGCTGCTCATGCTGTGAGCGTAGCGTACGATGGACCCTTCATGTGATTCCAGGTCTCTGACCTAAAGTTACCAACCGACAGAGAAAAGTTCCTATAAGCAGGATTTCTGCTCCTGGGTCGGAGGTTATGTTTGGTTTGAACTGGTCCTGGTTTTGTTTAGGGGTCAGGTCAGGTCATAGGAAGGTCCTCATAAGTTATAGAAAGATAAGAGTGGAAGATGGTCTCACCTTTGGGCGTGGCCAAGAACTGCTCCTCCTGCAGCGTCCGAGCTCCTCCCACCTTCTGATGCTGCACAGCCTGATGCTGCAACCGCTGCTGACGGGAAACCTCCTCCGAACAGAACCGAGCCTGAAACTCGCACACTTTGTCCTGCAGAGTCTGCAAAAAG